ACTTAGGAACATGTGTATTACAGGTATTCTTAGCACTTCACATGCATCGCAAAACCTGTTCCATTCTCACATATAAGTCTGTACTCAATGCAGCAGCAAGTAGTTTCTTAGAAAAATCTTTATTATAAGCATTCCCAAAGATTTCTGTACATGCAGTGCAGAATGGGCATAACCTCCATTCACTGATATAACGCTGTTCTCAATGCAGCAAGTGTTAGTGTTCTGAAAAATTGCTTTAAGACAAGTGTATTTAAACACATCTGTATATGCACTGTTGATGCCTAGAACTGCCACTCACTGATAGAAACTGTTCTCAACTCAGCAAGCAAATTGCAGTTTTAGAAACATCTGTATTATTATAATTGTTCTTAAACTCATCTCTCTATGCATTGGAGAAAGGTTATAAGCTCCATTCTCTCATATAACACTGTTCTCAATGCTGCAAGCAAGCAGTTCTCAGAGAGGTTTTTATTACAAGTGTTCTAGGTGGTGTGGAGCATCTCTTTTTTCTCTCCCTTTTGATTAACAACTATTTAGATATCCTTAACCAAACAGAAGTGCCTCTACACATCACATTGTACCTGGATATCCAGGAAGTTCTTACATATCAGATCTCAGTCATGGAATCCAAGGAGTTGGCAAGCCACCCCTACCTCTATGCCCTGGGATTGGGTAAGAGGGGAGCTGGTTAGTACAGAACTAGGTGGTTACTCATGGGCAATAAAGAATTTGAGGAGGGCCAGGGTGGCTCAGTCGGTAAAGGATCCGCCTGCAAGGCAGGAGACCCAGCTTTGATCCCTATGTTGGGAAGATCCCTGGAGAAAGGAATGGCAACCCACTCCAGTATTCTTGCCTGGAGAATTCCATGGACAGAGAAGCCTGGTGGGCTTCAGTCCTTGGGGTCGCAAAAAGTCAGACATGACTGAGCAACTAAAAACGTCTGCTTAAGGAGAGAACTGTGTCATGCCATCAGCGTGAGGTAGAGTTTGGACGCAGAGGGAAGGGTAGCACTTGCCAAGGAAGCCTCCTTCCCTGCGGCGAAGATGTAACAGGCTGGGCTTCCCGCAGCCGCAGCAGCAGCAGTGTCTTAGGCAGAGTAGTTCGAAAGCAGTCTCTTGATGGAGGACAGGTAAAGTGAAAACAGTGAGTGACTGCCTGGTTCCTCCTGCTGGGCAGGTTATGCTTGGAGGACCTTATTTCTCTCCAGCAGCTCTGGATTTTCTGAGGCGGGACCTCCATGATGGGGAAGGGAGAAGAAAGGAAGCACGTGGTAACATCTGTGGGCTTTAAACGTGTGCAGGTCCTGCTGGCTGCTTCAGGACTTCAGTAGGACCACCCACAAGCCTCTGGGGAGTATCCATTGGAAGATCTCCCCCTGGCCCCGTTGGCGTCTCAAAGCTCCAACTGCTAAACCCACACATCTCTCCCCCTAGTCCCTGCCCTCAACCCTGCAGCCAGCTCCTCCCGTGTGCTCCCAAGTGTGGCAGTGAGAATAGGTTAGGTAATCTGAATACTCTCAGAAAGATGGACCAGGGTCCACAGACAAGTGAGAATCAAACAAACTGAGGCTACAGTGCCACCTTCTGGAAGATAAAAGAGAGGTTTCCTGCAGCCAGCATGCTGAGTTATGAGAACAAGAGGAAACAGAACTAAGAATTCTACCCCAGGAGAGGACTAGAGTGGAGCAAGTCTACCCCTTAGAAACCTGGGATCCCTGGAGAAGCAACACCGAAAAACAGTACCTCATCAAAGATAACCAGTAAAGAGACTTCAAACGCTAAAGCAGCAATACAGAAACGCAAAGAACTTTAAAAGTCGAGGAAATACGCCATCACCAAAAGGCATCAACAATTCTCCAAGAGCTGAGCCCAAAGTCCCAGCACACTGCAATCTATCTGATAAAGAATTCAAAATAGTGGTACTGAAGAAATTCAGTAAGCTACAAAAAGAATTAAAACAGCTCAGTAGGACTTCCCTGGTGGTGCAGTGGATGGGAACCCACCTGCCAATGCAGGGAACATGAGTTTGATCCCTGGTCCAGGAAGATTCTACATGCTGTGGAGCAACTAAGCCTATGTGCCACAAAAACTGAGCTTGCACTCTAGAGCCCACAAGCCGCAACTACTGAAGCCCATGTGCCTAGTCTGTGCTCCACAGGAGAAGCCACCACAATGAGAAGCCCACACACTGCGGTGAAGGGTAGCCCTTGCTCGCTGAAACAGAGAAAGCCTGTGCAAAAGCAACAGACCCAGCACAGCCAAAAAAAAAAAAAAAAAAGCTCAATGATATTAGGGAAAAGATCCATGAACAAAATGAGTTACTTATGAAAGACATTAAAAATATAAAAAAGGGCCAAACAAAAATTCTGGAGCTGAAGAATTCAGTGAATGAGTTGAAGAATGAAATAGCATCTGTAGTAAAGCAGAGGGAAGATAGAATAAATGACCTAGAAGAAAGGAATTTTGAAATAAAGAGTCATACCAGAACAAAGATAAAGAATAAAAATGAGGGGAGGGGGCTTCCCTGGTGGATTGGTAGTAAAGAATCCATCTGCCAGTGCAGGAGACACAGGTTTGATCCCTGGACCAGGATGATCCCACATGCCTCGGAGCCACTAAGCCCATGCACCACGACTATTGAGATGGTGCCCTAGATCCTAGGGTCTGCAACTACTGAGCCCATGTACCGCAACTACTGAAGCCCTCACAGCCCGGAGCTTGTGCTCCACAATTAGAGAAAGCCCATGCAGCAACAAAGACCCAGCATAGCCAAAATTAAATAATTATTTTTATATGAGGGGAGAGAACCTATATGTTCTATGGGATTCAATCAATAGGGAATACATTTGAATAATCATGAATCCAGAAATTTGTAGTTTGTGGGTCCTTTTATTGTTTTAAATAAATATTCACTTACACACCTAATTTCTATATTCCTTTCCTTAAAGGACCACCTTCCACAAAATGGATAAGCTAAAGGTCCCTGCAAATGCTAGATCCAAATCTTGGGCTTCAAAGTTAACCACCCTTTATAAATACAACCCTTCCTCCGTTTAAATACAACCCTTCCTCTGACACTCCTACAAAAACATCTTGGCAATACCAATTAATCATCATTGAGAAAATACAATCATATTACTTTTATTTATGTTCTGTATTTTCCATCTTGCTAGCTAGTCTGCACACCCCATTATGAACCTGTTCATCCAGTCACTTGTGCATTGAAGAAACACGTCTTGGATTTGTCACTCCTTCATTGTTCTTCCATAGACCCAGATTTCCTAAGTCCAAGGTTACTAGTTGCCTAGGAGATTCCTGCTATTTGATAATGATTGTGACGATACTCATCCTGGGCTTTAAAAAAGCCCCCTCCAAATTCACTTCTGATGTCTCAAACTCCTCCTCTCTCGGGCCTCTATCCAGAACTAGGAGTGACTGTCTCTCCCACACCTGCTGGGTGTTTCAAAGATCAGTGAAATTAGTCTATCAAACATGTTGAAATCCAGAAACTGTAGCCAAGGAAATGTGAGTCAGAGCCCCCCAAACTGTTTCTTCACTTGGAATTTCCTACCACTCTAAAGTAACCATTCTTTCAACAGAGGAACCAATCCAAGTGTTTTCCCACTATTGTTTGAGTCTTGGAAGGTCAGGCCAGGTGTGTAGGAGCCTCAATGACACACCTTGAGGTAGGGGGCGGGGTTGGGCTGCAGTTTTACTGCCTTATTGGGCAGTGGGATAATCAATCCCAGCAGCCTGACCCAATCAGAGAGAGGGCAGGGTGCTCTGAGCAAGCAGCCAAGGGCTGATTCAACAAAGATGCTTAGAATCTTTAGATGAAAGTCCTTGCCATTCTGAAAACACAAAGCCACCACAGGATTCTGAAGTAGGAGAACCAGCCACTGTCACAAAGAACCCAACAGTGATTTCCCAGTGGAAATAATATGCTACCATTTCTGTGTATTTTTTAAAGGGACAGAATAACATGTGGCAGAATTCATTTTTGTTTGACTGTGGTTGGACACAGAAGACACTAATTTAAACATTATGCCAAGTGAAAGAAGCCTGGCACAACTGACCATGCTGTGCTGTGCTTAGTCGCTCAGTCGTGTCCGACTCTCTGCCATCCCATGGACTGTAGCCCACCAGGTGGCTCTGTCCAGGGGATTTTCCAGGCAAGAATGCAGAAGTGAGTTGCTATGCCCTCCTCCAGGGAATTTTCCCAACCCAGGGATCGAACCCAGGTCTCCCACATTGCAGGCGGATTCTTTACCAGCTGAGCTACCAGGGAAGCCCCACAATAGGCCATACATTGTATGATTCCATTTATATGCAATGTTAAGAGTAGGCAATGTTAACTTATATGCTTATATTGCATGTAAGTTATATGCAATGTTAACTTATATGCTTATAATGTGTTAATTTATATGCAATATTAAGAACCATGAACTACCAGATGTTCAAGCTGGATTTAGAAAAGGCAGAGGAACCAGAGGTAAGGATTGCCAACATCCATTGGATCATTGAAAAAGCAAGAGAGTTCCAGAAAAACCATCTATTTCTGCTTTATTGATTACACCAAAGCCTTTGACTGTATGGATCACAACAAACTGTGGAAAATCCTGAAAGAGATGGGAATGCCAGACCACCTGACCTGCCTCCTGAGAAATCTGTATGCAGGTCAAGAAGCAACAGTTAGAACTGGACATGGAACAACGGACTGATTCCAAATTAGGAAAGGAGTATGTCAAGGCTGTATAATGTCACCCTACTTATTTAACTTATACGCAGAGTACATCATGCGAAATGCTGAGCTGGATGAAGCACAAGCTGGAATCAAGATTACCGGGAGAAATATCAATAACCTCAGATATGCAGATAACACCACCCTTATGGCAGAAAGTGAAGAACTAAAGAGCCTCTTGATGAAAGAGGAGAGTGAAAAAAATTGGCTTAAAGCTCAACATTCAGAAAACTAAGATCATGGCATCTGGTCCCATCACTTCATGGGAAATAGATACGGAAATAGTGAAAACAGTGGCTGACTATTTTGGGGGGCTCCAAAATCACTGCAGATGGTGATTGCAGGCATGAAATTAAAAGACGCTTACTCCTTGGAAGGAAAGTTATGACCAAACTAGATAGCATATTAAAAAGCAGAGACATTACTTTGCCAACAAAGGTGCATCTAGTCAAGGCTATGGTTTTGCCAGTGGTCATGTATGGATATGAGAGTTGGACTATAAAGAAAGCTGAGTGCCGAAGAATTGATGCTTTTGAACTGTGGTGTTGGAGAAGACTCTTGAGAGTCCCTTGTACTGCAAGGAGATCCAACCAGTCCATCCTAAAGGAAATCAGTCCTGGGTGTTCATTGGAAGGACTGATGTTGAAGCTGAAACTCCAATACTTTGGCCCCCTGATGTGAAGATCTGACTCATTGGAAAAGACCCCGATGCTGGGAAAGATTGAGGGCAGGAGAAGAAGGGGATGCCAGAGGATGAGATGGTTGGATGGCATTATCAACTCAATGGACATGGGTTTGGGGTGGACTCTGGGAGTTGGTGATGGACAGGGAGGCCTGGTGTGCTGTGGTTCATGGGGTGGCAAAGAGTCAGACACGACTGAGCATCTAAACTGACTGATGTGAAGAACTGATCCGTTGGAAAAGATCCTGATGCTGGGAAAGATTGAAGGTGGGAGGAAAAGGGGACAACAGAGGATGAGATGGTTGGATAGCATCACTGACTGGATGGACATGAGTTTGAGTAAGCTCCATGAGTCAGTAATGGACAGAGAGGCCTGGCGTGCTGCATTCCTTGGGGTCGCAAAGAGTCGGACACGACTGAGCGACTGAACTGAACTGAACTGAAGAGTAGGCAAATCCATAGAGAAAGAAAGAAAGATTAGTGGCTGCCAGGTATAACGTTCAGGCCGCTGAAAATGGCTATTTTCTTGCTCCCTGTACATCCCCTGCTTGACTGGGCCCTGCTGCACTCACAGGACTATACAATCCTCTTAATTATAGGGCTTAATTAGTAACTGCCTATGTGCTTGCCCCCTGCCTGGCCCTGGTTTCCCTGGTAACTGATAAGCCAACCTGACGTCAATTCCCCTATAAATGGCAGCCTCTCCCGAGTAGCAAAGATGGCTGCCGTGTCCTTCCTGTCGTCTGCTGCACACGGTGGGATATCGCTCCAGGACACTTCGATCTGGTCGTGTAAGACCCCCTGTACAGTAAGCTGTTGATGTCTCTGTCACTTGTTCCTGGGCTCTTGCTATGGTCTTGAGGTTAGGCCAATACAAGACTTGCAGGCCTGCTGTTGTATTGCATTTTGGTGTTTGGTTGCAGTGACCCTCTGCCTACCTGACCTCAGAGATACTACGGGAGAGGGATGGGCCAAGACTGTAAGGGTCAGGCAACGTGTATAGTGGTGGAGTGTGTGGTCAGGTCACTCAAGATGGCTGTTCTCTTGCTCCCTGTACACTCCCCGATTGACCAGGCCCAACTTCACTCGCAAGACTATCCAGTCCTCCTAATTATAGGGCCTAATCAGTAACTTTTATGTGCTTGCCCCTTGCCCCAGCCGATGGTTTCCATGGTAACTGATGAGCCAACCTGATGTCCATTCCCCCTATAAACGGCTGCCTCCTCCAAGTAGTGAAAATTACTGCCATGTCTGACCCGCCACTGGCTGTGCATGATGGGGAGTTCCTTTAGGACCCTTTGCTTCAGATGAGTGGGGTCCCCTGTCCCATAAGGCACTGAGGTCTGTTGCTGTCTCTGGGCTCTTTCTTCAGTCTTGTGGCTGGGCAGTTATGAGGCTGGCAGGCCTCTGGAGTGCAGCGCAACACCAGGAAACAGGGAAGGGAGGACTGGGGCCTGACTCCTTCATGGGCACAGAGTCACTTTTTCGGATGGTTTGGACCTGGATACAGGTGATGGTTGCACAACAATGCAAGTGTACTTCATCCCATGGAACCATACACTTTTAGGTGGTTAAAATGACAGGGGCTCATTTCAACATCTGTCACCTCCATGACAGCAGATGGGAGAAAATGGGTAGATGCAGACAGGAATGAAGGGAAGTTTTTCATCAGGTAACTGCTTATACTTTTGATTTCTGGAACTTAAAAACCAACTCATCCTTCTCAGCCTGCACGGATGTCACATCGATTTCAATATTTTGACAAGCTATTTAAATATGAGCACCACTTCCCACTCCAGTGTTCTTGCCTGGAGAATTCCACGGACAGAGGAGCCTGGCGGGCTACAGTCCATGAGGTTGCAAAGAGTTGGACATGACCGAGTACACGTGCACAAGGCAGAAGAAGGCCTGCCAAGCGGGACTGCCCTGCAGTGTTCCTTCCCCGCCTCTCTCCCTGGGACACAGAAAAGCAGAGTGGGTTCAGCACTGTCTTTCTGTAAATGCAGATTTCGCCATTGGAGTCCCATGGCTTTCTCTTTTTTTCCCCAACTGTCAAGCTGAAGCGAAGCCAGCCTTCCCTGCCTCTCTCTTCCTGCGCATCATTCTCTCACTAGGCCACCTACCCATCCCCCCTCCTTGCCAAGCGTTTTGTTAATTACTTGTGATGGATTCCACCTTCTCCCACATCCCAAAGTAGCTAGCCCAAGAAGTCTGCTCTTGAGTGGCTGACAAACCCGTCCCCTCCCGTCACCCTGACAGCCTCCTTCTGAAGGCACTTTTATGGTGAGGACAGGACATGTATTCCTTTGCTCCCCCTGGGCTTTCAGCTCAGCTCAGCCTGGTCCTTCCTTTGAAACTATAGCTTCTTCATAGAACTGTTTTGTACTCCCCTTTTTCAAGGATGAGGTTACCCACTCTGTAATCCAGGCAAGCATCTCAGTTGTAAGTTTTAGTTTCTCCTGGAAATCTGAGTCGAGTTCCCTGATGTGAACAGGAGTCCAAGGTCCCTGGAGATCTTCAACACCTGTAACATCCTCCCTTGCTCTGTGAGCTGCTGAAAACGTCCTCCGCCCTAGGGCAGCACAATAAGGCTAGCGAGGCAGGCTGCAGACTCGAGGTGGGTTGGCGTTGGTTGGATAAGTCTCTCGCGCCCCCAAGTGGAAAGAATGAGGTATGGACTGACCACCTCGCAAAAGAAAAGTACCATTAAGAGGGTTCTTGACTTTAAAAAAAAAAAAAAATAGGGTTCTTGACTGGCTGCAGTTCCCATACAGGGTACAGCCTGGGAGCCTTTTATCCACGTGAAGAAATCTGCCATAGGTTCAGGAAGGAGGTACAAGGATTAGGCAGTGAACACACTTTCTGACATGCTTTTCTGTAGCTGTGCCCTCTTCTCAGCGACTCTGCCTTCTTGCCTGTTTCCCTCCTACCTCATGCTGAGCCTAAACTTTCTAGATCCTAAGATAAAGAAAAAAGGCCTTTAATTCCTGGGCCCAAGTTGCAGTCTCTGACATCTGATCTCCAGTTTCTTGTTCGGTTCAGTCGCTCAGTCGTGTCTGACTCTTTGCGACCCCACGGAACTGCAACACACCAGGCTTCCTTATCCATCACCAACTCCTGGAGCTTGCTCAAACTCATGTCCATCGAGTCGGTGATGTTCTCATTCTTTCAGAGGCCCCTCTAATCTCCATAGAAATGTCCCAAATTACCTTTCTGTGAAGGTTAGTTCTGTTGATCAAGATTCAGCAAAGAGTTCTTGGGGTTTACTTCTTTTTTATGTAAGATACTTCAGTTATGGTTCAGTGTATTGCTTCTGTTTCTTTACTGTAACTCAGCTGTCACCATGTGGAAGCTTCTTACTCTCCCAGGCGAGAGACCCTCTTTCAGTCCCCTGCCTGGGGAGAACACATGGGTCCCAACCCCCTTCTCCTCAGGTTTCATCAGCCTGAGATGCAGCTTGACTCATGTTACTTTCCTGCTCATAGTCCTCCTGCAAGGAATGAAGATGATCTGGTTTCCTATCCCTTCTCTTAAGATGTGGAAACAGAACCCCAGCAACGTTGACTTTTTTAAAAAGCAAGGTTGCAGCTCCCTTTAGTGAAGTACCTGGGGCTGCAGCCAGCCTTCTGCCACTCTACCGAGCGTCTACCTTCTCTCACCCTGGAGTTTTCCGGGTTCAGCCCCTTCCTGCCTCTTGGCCTGGTCTCCCACCATGCTCTTCTGCGCTATCAAATTGCGTGGCTAACTTTCCCCTAACGTTCCTTGTTCTCCTGCTTTATTATTGGGCTCAATCCCAATGCTGCTTCCTCCCAGAATTCTCACACACAAGTGCTCCCTCCTCTGGGGTCCCTTGACTTCAGGCTGCCTGTCCTAGGACACGAAACTCTCAAGCTGACGTGACCCCTTCCCTTGTAAGCTGTCAGCATCCAGAGGCCGAGTCTTCATCACTGCAGTCTTCCTGGAGCCCGGAACCAGCAGTGTTCACACAGTGCAGATCTCTCAAACGTTGTTGTTGTTCAGTCACCAGGTAGTGTCCAACTCTTATGATCCCATGGAGTTCAGCACAACAGGCTTCCCTGTCCCTCACCATCCCCTGGAGTCTGCCCAAGTTCATGTCCATTGAGTCAATAATGCCATCTCAAACGCAGCTAAATACAAATGAATGAATCTTGGATGCATACTGGAACCAGGAATAGTTACAGTGAACTTTGGGAAGTGTATTCTAATTGCCCACTGTGATCTCCAGACTGCAGTTTGGACTTTACAACAGTGACTTCACCTTCTACCTTAACATGATGGGGTACGTGGGGACTGAACAGAAAAGTGCAGCCAGAGGAACCTAGAGCTCAACACTGGCTCTCTCACCCAGAACAGGGGTCGGCTAACCTTTGCCATAAAGGGCCAGATGGCAAAGCTTTTCAACTTCATGGGTCACACAACTACTGTCACAATGACTCAACTGTTGTTGCAGCATGAAAGCAGCTGTGCCCACTACCAATGTGACTGTATTCCAATCAATCTTTACACAAACAGTCAGTGAACCCCAGATGTGGCTTGCGGGCTGTACATTGCTTAGATGAGGGAACCTGGCCATGTGGCTTAAATTCTGAGTCTGTTTCATCATTTGTTTAAAAAAAGTTGAATGAAAAGTCCTTGTGTGGAAATGACAAGAGTAAGTGAACTGGGGGAGGTAAAACTCTTAGCACCAGGCCTGCAGCACCTTGCTTACTTAGTCAATAATAGTTCATATTGTTAAATGTCAGCCAAAGAGACTTTCCAATGTTAGTAGATCATTCTCATCCCACAACTTAAAAAAAAAAAAAAAAAGCTAGGGTTAAAGACACTTGGAATTCACAAAAAGAACTTCAGATACCTGAATCTATTCCATCCAGGGCAGGGCTGGCCTCAGGCCTGGCTGGACACAGGTTTTGTACATGTTTTTCCTTCTGCCTGGAATGCCCTGCCCTCCCTCGCTTGCCTGTGCCTGCGGCGAGTCCTTCTCAACCTCCATAGGCTTCAGCATATTCTTTTGGGAAGCCTTCCCTGACTTCTCGCTTAGAAAATCTTCTCCCTACACAAGCTTTTATTATATATTTTAAAATATTTATTTGGCTATGCCAGATCTTGTGGCACACAAGACCTTTTAATTATGGCATGTGGGATCTAGTTCCCTGATCAGGGATCGAACCCAGGCCCCCTGCCTTGGAAGCATGAAGTCCTAGCCACTGGGCCATCAAGGAAGTCCCTGTCCTATTTTTCAGATTCTACTTGTGGCTTCTTCTGTGAGGAGCTGTGATTGGAGGGTGGAGTGCAGCCTTCGAAGAAAATATTTGGGAAGGGTGTCAGTGGGCAGCAGCCGCGGTGGGGTGGGAAACCAGGATGGTTCCAGATGCCCCAGAAGGCAAGGGCAGCTGTAAACAGAAGAGTGAGACTGCTGCTCTCTCTTCTCTCTTGCCTCTTTTTTCTCCTCGCTTCTTCCTTCTCCCTCTGCAGTTCCTTCCAGTTAGTACAATTAATGAATGTTTTCATTTCAAATCTCTTGACCAAACACAAAACAAGCTGGAGTAGAGTGGTTATCAGTATCAATTAATAATCACATACCCCACGACAAAGACTGTTTCCTGGACCAGGTTCAGTCAGGCTGCTCTGAACCCTCTGCTCAACTAGACCTCAACCTTCTGGCTTCCCCATCTGTCTTCCCATTGCCCGGTTTTAGCAAGAATCCTAATAAATTCCTTAACCCTCATCCCTCAGATCAGATTCCTCATCCCTCACCCTTCATATCTGATCTTGCCAGCCTGCCTTTGGCAAGAATCATCTCAAGTCAGTGTAGCTGAAAACCCCCTCACACCTGATGTTTCCTCTCAGTGATTTTTCATCCACTGACCTGCTCATGGCTATGAATCCCCACTTGCCCATGGTCTGTGCAGAATCGAGTCCTGTTCTATACTGAGGTCTCTCTTCCCCTTTTGCAACTGTCCTGAAAAAAATCTGCTTATACCACTTTACTGTCCAGCTCTGGTTTTCTTTGATACCCACCCTACTTCCAATATCAAACAGGGCCAATATTTTGAAACAGTCAAGTTAAGAAGCCCAAATGGGAGAGACCACAGCACTGTATTTGTCATCGAATCTGCAACACTTACCTCATGCTAGATGCAGCTGAGCATACAAAAACAGATACCATATTTCCTGGCCTTGAGCAACATTTGATGTGGATAATAAAAGAAGATAACCAGTGGGCTAATGTTTATTACAAATTATTTCATGTGGCAAATGAAAGAATAAGGATTTTTTTTTTTTTCAGATTTAATCTATTTGCCTGCTTTACCAACTAAGGAGATGGAGTGATAGAGAGGTAGAAAATGGAGTTTGCCTCCATCTCACAGATTCCAAAATAGTTAAATCTCACAAAGGCAAGTAGGGAGCAGGAACAAACCGAGAGACACATTGACAGAAGCAAGACTCTAACACCAGCTTAGAAGATTCAACAGGGCCACCAGTGAAACGAAAGAGCAGCTTCCTGGGACTGCACTCTGCCTCAAGGTCAGCAGACAGAACTGGACTGAGTCCAGAGGAGCCAAGGGCTGCAGCTACAAACACGTGTGGCTCCCCTGGCCACCTCCTCCTGGGTCTCCATTCTCCTCTCCAGGCAGCCTTCCTAGTTCTCTACCTAAACCAGAAACCTAACCGTGCACACCCTCGCCCCCCCCCCACCTGCTTTAAGTAACAGCTTTTGGTGCCTCTGCACAGCCCAATAACTCCCCAGCCCTTCACCTGGTCTACAGGGCCCTCACCATCAGATCTGCCTCCCTGGGACTCTCACTTTCAGACCCAGTGCCCCAGGGCACTGGCCAGGCTGCTCCTCACTCCCTTCTGTTCACCCTGCTCCCAGCCAGCATTGCCCTCCTCTGACCTTCACACGGCTGACCTCTTCATCATCAGGACCTGGTATGGACATCTTCCCCGAACCCTTCTCCAGATGGCCAGGAGCACTCTGGACCACCTGCAATGACCAGTTTATGTGACCTGTTTCCCTCTGGACATTGAGTTTTTGAAGGCAATGGCTACATCTTACTCATTTTTAGGATCCCCAGCACTAGGCATGACCATCCAGTTTGGCAGGGCAGGGGTGGGGGGTGCATGGGTGGAAAGAAGGCTTTCCTGGTGGCTCATATGATAAAGAACCTGCCTGCAATGAGGGAGAGCTGGGTTCGATCCCTGGGTCAGGAAGATCCCCTGGAGGAGAGCATGGCAACCCACTCCAGTTATCTTGCCTGGAAAATTCCATGAATAGAGGAGCTTGGTGGGCTACAGTCTATGGGGTCTCAAAAAGTCAGACACGACTGAGTGACTAAGACTTTTCCAAGGCAGGGAAGAGGGTTCAAGGCACTGTTTCTTGGTGATTTAGTATGTGAGTGGGGTTTAAAGGCTGGTTCTGCTGTTTACTATCTGGGTGACTTCAAATAAGGTTTTCTAAGATACTAAGGAAAACATATCTGGTCACACTCATCTGGCAGGGCCATTGGGAAGAGTGAGTGAAACAGGCATCTTAAAGCATTTAGTGCCGCTCAACCAAGGTTGGCTGTTTGTTTCTTTCACTCCCACGGGGGCCCCCACTGGAGGCCCCAACATAGTTGGTGACAATAAGCAAATCCTGTTTACCCAAGACACATTTAATGGTAAGAATAGAGATAAAGGCCAACTCTCGGTAAAGATCAGGCTCCGGTTTTGCTGAGCAGAGCAGCACTGCCCATTCGCCTCACTGCTTCGAGCAGCAGTGTTTCTGGATCTCTCCTGCAAGCCACAGGCAGTGCAGGATGCGTTTCTTCTCGGCAGCCAGCTCCTCTTCCGAGAACTGGCCCAGGAGTTTCTGGACAAATATATTCTGATCTTTCAGGAAAATATTCTTATTGATGCCTACGTTGGGCATATTCTCCAGGGACCCAGACCTGAAATGGAAGCTTAAACGTCTGTTTCGCTTTAGGCCGGGTGCTTTCTCTTCAATCCAGGTCAGCGGGCTGTGGAGACAAGAGGCACAGTATTAATTTCACTGAGGGGACCTGAGCACCCTCTGCTTGATCCTCATCGTGAGCCCATCTCTCCTGCAGCCGCTGCATCCCAACCTTCACCAGCCTTCCAGAGGTGACTGTTGGCAACTGACCAATGGTCCCTTTATTCAGTTTTGCCACCAGGAAGGGGAATCTGTGCAATGATTTTGGTGTGAATATCAGTTCATTATTTAGGACTTTCTACCCTGAGCCCTGGAGGGATTGGGGGCAGGAGGAGAAGGGGATGACAGAGGATGAGATGGCTGGATGGCCATCACCGACTCGATGGGCATGAGTTTGAGTAAACTCCGGGAGTTGGTGATGGACAGGGAGGCCTGGCGTGCCGCGATTCATGGGATCGCAAAGAGTCAGACACGACTGAGCGACTGAACTGAACTGAACTGAACCCTGAGCCCTGAGGATGCAGACCTGAGATTCTAGAGCAAACTGTTGTTTCTAAGTATATGTGCATTTTTACGGGAAAGAATTCTTAGAGTGCTCCCATCCCATTTTCAAAGAGATCTGTGATCCCCCGCACATGCCAGAAAAGACTAGACACTCCCTGCCTACTCTCAAAGCATCTGCTTCCATTTCACATGTGCCCCCCAGGTCAAGGCCAAGGTCAGCACTCACAAAAATCTCCAGTCCTAATGGGACAGACCCCACTTCCCTAAAGTTTCTCCTTTCTCTGGGTTTATTGTTTCTGTCTTTATAGTAGATAATAACTGTTTTTACCTGCTTAATCAGAAACAGAGAAGCCTAATTAGGTCTTTGATCTAAAGAAGCTTCACTGAATAATATGACAGCAAAAATACAAAATCTGCTTTAAAAAGTATTCTAAAAACAATACAGCATTGATTTAAGGACTTTTCAATGGAAAAAGAAAAAAATCCATAGTTCTTTCACCTAAATAAAAACCTCTTCAGTTTGAGACAGTCCTTTCAAGTATTTGTCTATGGGAGGGGGGATCGGGATGGGGAATACTTGTAAATCCATGGCTGATTCATGTCAATGAATCACTACAATATTGTAAAGTAATTAGCCTCCAACTAATAAAAATAAATGAAAAAAAAACAAAAAAAGAAGGATTTATCTATATGTATGTGGCATATTAACCCTAAGGTATAACTAATTTTTGACTATGTTTATTTAAAAATATCATCCTACAGATACTGCTTGTGATGATTACTTTTGTCTGCACATCATGGACAACTGATTATATAATTCATTTACTATTATTGCCAAATATTCAAGCTCTTTCCAATTTCAATTTAATATGGATAGCCTGCATTCAAACTCTTCACACATATATGCATAATACAGTTTTCCTTCCTTCTTCTGGGAACAAAGTTTCAGGAAGTCTGAAGAGGACTTGCTCTGGCTACTTCTCTTTCCTTCCTGTCCTTACTTCTCCTACAGGGTTGAGTCAGGGTCAAGGACAAGGCAATCTGGTTGGACGGCTGTGATATGAACTGGGAAAGGGTTTAATCCTGAGCAGGCACCAGGGTCTTGTCTCCCATTACCATTCCTCGGATTCCTTCCCCCTTCCCCCCAGGCTGCAGTCAGGCAGGCCCAGGATGGGCAGTTTAGACCAGTGTTGCTAATGGACAAAGTGGAACTACCTTTTGTTTGTTCTCTGCCTCTAGAGGGATAGCACATAATAAAGCTAAATCTATAGGTATGGGGGGACTTCCCTGGTGGCCCAGCTTGGTTAAGACTCTATACTTCCAATGCAGGGGGCACAGGTTCGACCCCTGGTTGGGAAATTCAGGGAACTAAAATTCTACATGCTGTGTGGCATGGCCAAAAAACAAACAAAACCAAAAAAAAACATAAGGTGTGAGATTACAAGAAAGGGGCCCAGACCGATCACTTAAGATTGTTTTGAGGGCTGCAGGAAGCTCAGGGTAAAGGAACCCTCCCTCAGCTTACCGAGACCTACACTAGAGGGTCGGTAAAATCTTTAAGAGAAAAAGATGTAAAGTACATAAAGGGGGAAGCATGCCAACACCCACACACACAGGGAAACATCAAGAGAGATGTGGACAGAGAAACTTCCTCCTTTTGTGGTCCCATCTGCTCAAAACTTAGTTATGCTGTTTCCTGTTCATATGTGTATATATGAACATATATATATATATATATAATTTTTGGCTGCACCATGCAGCATATGGATCTTAGTTCCCTGACCAGGGCTTGAACCTCCGCCCCCTGCATTGGAAGTGGGGAGTCTTCCACCACGGACAATCAGGGGAGTCTCCCTGTTCACATATTTAAGTGAGGACATCAGCTGTTGGGACTTTACTGTCAGAGTGGAGCTAAAGGTAGCCCTGGGTCCACCCATGTTCTGGGCTTGGACAGCTCTTAGCTCCAGGCATCCCAACCCAAACCACAAGCTTGGACTCAGACAGCTCCTCTGGTCCTCTCTGGAAACCTCCACTTGCAATTATCTGCATTCACCAGCCTAAGCTCTGACTACCTGCAAAAATGCTTCTTACTTCTCACCTTCCATAGGAAGGTGCACGCCCACAGCCACAGCCACATTCCTCTAGGCAGCACATGTCTCAAGCACAGCAGAGGTGGCAATTTCTAACACTGTTCTTCTAAGTTCTGATAAGACGAGAGGGTGGGGGATGCACCTGGCTCTGGTCCCAGTCCTACCAACCAGCTTCAACAAGAGGACGGAAATGTGCACCTCTTGTATACAGGACTGGGTTGAAAAAGTGTTTGAATGCTTATTTTTACAAAGTTTGAAAACTGCTAGTAAAATGGAAAGAACACAGGCTTGGAAGTGAGTTGCACTGGGTTTTCCTGGATGATCTGGGGCCTGAGGCGAACGATACCTACCTCACTGATAGGTAAGGACGAGGGGAAGACAAGGCCTGCTGTGTTCTCAATGGTATTCCTTTCTCGTGCCTTCCCTCTGCATTGTGGAGGAGAAGGCGTAATCATTGGGGGACTGCAGACAGGCTGCTTGAGCATGATTCTCACATAACCATTTATTAGCTGTGTGCCCTTGGTGAGTTTCTTAACCTCTCTGAGCCTCGGGTGATCATAATTCCCGGGTGATCATAATAGTGCCCATTCCAGACAGTTGGTATAAAGATTATATGAGAAAACTCTTGTAAAAGCGCTAGGCCCTGGCACATTGGCGAGAACTCAGTGAATGTCAGCAAATACTAGCACTTTGTACAACAGGGCTTCAGGCAACGATCCCAGTCTCACTGGTCCCTTACTGTGACCTTTTGAGGCCATGCCTCCCCACCTCCTCATCCCCTGCTGCGTTTCTGCTCTGTTCCACTATGTTGTTGGAAGGCGGCTCTAACTTGAGGAATTGTGTCTGCAAACAACTCGCAGAGGCTCCTAATGTTTTAAAAAGACTTGTTATGAAGCTTTTTATCTTGAAGGGCGTTTGCAGGCGAAAGAGCTGCATTTCGAACCAGATGGGACCCATCATGATGTTGGTTTCCCAAATGGACCAAGAGGACTTGGTTTCGAAAAACAACACATCAAGTATATTCAAGTAAAATCTGCAAACATTTAGTGATTATTTCTGGCATTGCATTTTCTGTCATTTATGGACTGAAGGCTGTTTATGGAAGATGCTGGGAATAAAAGAGTATCACTACTACCCAACTGGAAGAATTATCAGGGTGTGTAATAAACCAGGATCAAATGGAGGCTTTAGCAATGGAGCAACCAACAGACAACACCTCAGTATGACCTTATATTCAACCTGAACATCTTTGTACTATTTTAGTCTCTTGAACATTTTTTAATGAAAAAAAAAAAAAAAAAGACTTGGTATGGAAAATAAAGAATCAGTATTTGGGGAACATTACAACAGTATGATGTGATAAAGCTGATAAAGAGCTGGGCATGATACAGGCAAGCTGAATACAATGTTAATGGCAAGATCTATGTACAGATGCTCACTGCAGAGTTCTTTCAACTTCACCAATGCTACTCAGCCATTAAAAAGAATTCATTTGAATCAGTTCTAATGAGATGGACGAAACTGGAGCCCATTATACAGAGTGAAGTAAGCCAGAAAGATAAACACCAATACAGTATACTAACTCATATATATGGAATTTAAAAAGATGGTAACGATAACCCTCTATGCAAAACAGAAAAAGAGACACAGATGTACAGAACAGACTTTAGACTCTGTGGGAGAAGGCGAGGGTGAGATATTCTGAGAGAACAGCATTGAAACAAGTCTACTATCAAGGGTGAAACAGATCGCCAGCCCAGGTTGGATGCATGAGACAAGTGCTCAGGGCTGGTGCACTGGGAAGACCCAGAGGGATGGGATGGAGAGGGAAGCGGGAGGGGGGGATCGGGATGGGGAACACATGTAAATCCATGGCTGATTCATGTCAATGTAAGGCAAAAACCACTACAATATTGTAATTAGCCTCCAACTAATAAAAATAAATGGAAAAAAAAAAAAACTTCACCAATGCCTGCAACTTTCACAATAAAATGTTGGAATGAATGCAGGTCACAGATGTAACTGGACTTTTGCTCCTGTATCTGATATTGCTTACTGTGTGGCTTAGATATTGCTATCTGTGTGTTGTGTCTGAGTCGCTCAGTCATGTCTGACTCTTTGCGACCCCAGGAACTGTAGCCCACCAGGATCCTCTGTCCATGAAATTCTCCAGGCAAGAATACTGGAGTGGGTTACCATTTCCTTATCCAGGGCTCCCACAGGGAAAATTAGAATTGGATGCCACAATTCCAAGGGAGTTCCTTGGGGCATCTTCATTACTAGAGTGTTCTTCCTTTGTAAAGTGCTTCTGACTGCCAGATTAATTGTGAGCCATTTGGGGGCTCTTCTGGTCTAAATATATCTAACATATCAGATCTGTATGCTTCTCTTAACCTTATGGGGCAACTAGGAGGATGGTGTGAAGCAACATAAGAAATTTCAGCACGTGTCCCACTGCAGAAGCAGATGGCTCTTCTGGAGTCGGGAGTGGGGGTCCAGGTCCCTGGGTCTCCCCAAATTCTCCCTCATGAACCCACAAGGATGTCCTTATATTGCCCCCTCCTCACAGCTTTTCCCGACCTACCTTTTGTTCTCTGTCTCCAAGCACACGGTCATCTTCATATATTGGTCTTCCTTTCGCTCTTCCAAAGTGGCAGACACGAGAGAAAGCTCCCCGAAGAGGGAGACCAGCCAAGTCAGGCGAGAGATGCCGCTGAATGCAGGGAAGCCAAACCGCTCTTCTTCCAATGGGGCAGCTGTGGGGAATCACAGACAAGACGGGGATTGGAGGGGAAAGGCTGACAACTAGGAGGTGACAGGGAGCCAGCAGATGTGGCTGGGGATCAGGACACACAACCTGGCCTTATGGCGGGGGTACCTGAGATGATTCTCATGGAGACTTTCAGGAAAATGTCTCCCTTTGCTCCTGCTTTTGAAATTCAGTTTGTTGGTAAAATAAAATATTTCATTGGAAATTGCAGGTTATCTGGTCCACAGGGAAAGAAAAATGTTTCAGGCTTCTAACGTGTATATGTTGTGTGTGTATGTGTGTGTATATATATATACACAAATATATATATGGTACACACATATACATATATATTCCCTTAGTAACTTGAAGTAAAAGAAGAATTAACATATTTTAGTCCTGTAAGCCTATATTTCTATAAATATATAACTGTGTAAATTATAAGAGGGCGAAGGAATCATGATAGCTGTGAAGAAAACAGTAATACCTATAGACTACATCAATATCAAGAAAATTGATACAGTGGTGTTTTCTTAGACTTCAATATCTATCATCTCAGGTACAACAGTACATTCCGAAGAGGATCTGGGTGAGAAACATGGTCAAGATGCTGCTCCCCTCTGTTCCCAGTCTAAATTTTAAACATAACTTGAATTTATAAGATTTCACATCTGTTTCACTGATCTTTAAACCACATGCTGCTCCCCTCTGTTCCCAGTCTAAATTTTAAACATAACTTGAATTTATAAGATTTCATATCTGTTTCACTGATCTTTAAACCACAGATTTTTTGTAACTTGATACTGACTTAAAACAACTCATAATTATGAGTATGTTCTAAAGAAAATCAGAAGCAAATTTAAAAAAAAGGTAAATAGTAGCAAACCAAGACTGTAAGTTTCATAGACAACATGGTTTGAAATCACTAGGATCTAAGTGTCAAACTTACACAGGAAACGCAGCTCCCTCTGGGCTGGTTACCGTCTGCTGCTGCTCTTGGCAGAGGACTGAGCAGCCGTCACAAATCTGAGCCCCAGAGTCATAAATGTTGGGTCAACTTTGTGAAGCTACCCACCTCTGAGCTTCATTAAAAACAATCTGTATGACACGGGTAATGAATACCCACTTTATGGGATTATCCTATGACTTAACATGAAATAATGCGTGTCACATACTTAGCACAATTCCTTGTGCAAATTAATGGTTATTATTATTTGTTGCCACAACGCTCATTAGTTGGTCATTTTAAAGGATGAAGATGGATCACCGCCTTAGAGAATGAACTTCTACAGTGGGGAAGAGAGCAGGGATGAGACAGTTAGGGAGTTTGGGATTGACATGTACACGCTGCTATATTTAAAATGAGTAACCAACAAAGTCCTACTGTACAGCGCAGGGAACTCTGCTCAATGGTATGGCAGCCTGGATGGGAGGGGAGTTTGGGCGAGAATGGATACATGTATCTGTATGACTAAGTCCCTTTGCTGTCCACCTGAAACTATCACACATTGTTTCATGGCTATACTCCAATATAAAATAAAGAGTTTAAAACATACAAAAAGGAATACAATAAAGGATGAAGATGGATTCTGAAATGAGATTCCACTGTATTTTCTGGAAATTCGTGAAGAGATGAATGATTTTCCCACTCAACAATGTCAGACTTTCCTTCCTGTAATGCAAGTCCTCGGGAAAGGTAACCCAGATGCTTTAGGGTGCAGAGCTGGAGGCTCCAGCTTGTTCATTTCCTACTGCTAATGCCTTAGGGTACAGACAAATCTAAGGAGTCCGCCCAAAGGAGATTGCAGAGCTGGAAGCTCCAGGTTGTTCATTTCCTACTGTTAATGGAGGTGCTCCCAGAAAGACCAACATAAATGGCTGAATATATAGTATATCGGATATTTTGGCTGCAGCTAATGTTCTGATAACTTGTTGGAGGAAGGAAGGGGCTATGCACATTCTATTTGCTGCATAGAGAAGTATAAAAATAATTCTCTTCTCCAAGGAACCTTTTTCTCAGTCCTTTTTAAAAGAGAGCTTTCACTTTTAACCTGTGGAATATAATCTCCAATTTGTCAGGATTTCATGAGAGAAGCTTCTGCCTAATCGACTGGGCCAAAAGTATAAATGCACTTCAGATTTCTAACACATATTTTACCTAAGGCCTACCAAGCAATCAAATCTCATTTGAGGAAAGAAGCAAAATAGATACTTTTATTGTCTGTGGCTATTTGGGAAAATTAAATCGGCCCGCAGAGACTCTTTGGTAGAAATGAATACAAGCTCACATCCTAGAGAGCTAGGAAAGAACTCAGCCTCCCCACCTCACCCCACCCCGCCTTACCAGTTACACATGACCTGTGATCCCACCAAGGACTGACCTGTGAAGAGGAGAGACCCTTTCAGCAGGTCCTTCCCCACCACTTCTTTCTTTAAGAATGCAAACTCCTCCATCAAGAGTTCAACATGCTCCTCATGCAAGACTTTCCCTGTCATGACAAGGATGGAGTGAAAAAGGCAGTTATCATCAACTGTGTTATTTGCAGGATACACACATGAAATTATTAGGGAATCAGTTGGGCAACTTACTCTTACATGATTCAAGAAAAAATAGTTCTCTGTACTGTATTATATTTACTACTCTTCTGTAAGTCTGTTATTTCAAATAAATAATCTTCAACAAAACAAATAGTTATAGCAACAAAAATATGAGAGCAAGCCAGAAACAATCATGGATTATGAAATAAAAACTTCTTAGGAGAAAATGAAAGGGCGGCTTGCAATTAATGGACCTGAAGTCTCAACTCATTCATTTTCTCACACATATTTCAGCAGCTTTCTAAAATAACTAGTAATTTATGAAATTCTCAAGAACCATTTTTGCCTCATCTTCCAAAATAGGGTGTTTTGTCTATCTTAGAAATAATAAGTGTTTTTAAATTCGGGAGGAAAATGAAAAGTAAAAATACCATGATCCTATTTACCAGAAAGAACCACTACTAAGATATTGGTTTATTTCCCTTTTGTCATTCTGCTGTGAATTATTTTTCATGATTGTGATCATACGGTAGAAACAAAATTATTTTTAGTTTTAAAGTGTAAATGTAAATTCACATCATTGTAGAAAATTGAGAAAATGTGAAGGAGCATAAAGAAAAAAATGAAACCACTCAGAATGCTACCAGTTCATCACTGTTGCCATTTTGTTACCTTTGCTTTTTTTTCCCTCCCGTATATGTGACATGATGTTGACACTGATGTTTAAGCAATACAGGAAAGGTCTCAGATCCCAGCTGAGGGATAATCGGAAAGGAAGTTTGGTAGTAGACAATCAATGTCACCATGGGTATAAATGACTGACCGGACATGGGCACTGGGGAAATTTCTGGAATAATAAAAATGTTATGTATCTTGACTGGAGTAATCATTACATGGGTATATACTCTGTCCAAACTCATTTAACTCTGCACCTAAAATCTCTGAATTTATCACAAGGAAATTCTATCTCAAATTACAAAAACTCAGATAATCAGATGAACACCAGAATTATTATTCAATTTCTTCAGTGGCTTTGGTGTTAGCCTGTTCAGAGCTATTTTTGTAGAAGAAATAAAACGTACTTCTCAGAAATTCCTGTGTCATAGGGTTCGTGATTTGTAACTAGTTTAACCACGGACACAAGTGCTAGAAAAGCTTATCTCACTTGTTACTTAAATAAGTCAGACTTGGCAAGCTATCCCATCTGATTGGTGGGGTAACAGATGGGGCTAGAGATTCATTTTATGTGTGCCCATGAAAACAAAAATATGATTTTCCATTCTATTTGTGATATTTAAAATGCAAAGAGTACCCTTAACCAAGTAGTAGTCAACTGTATGATACCTAATGCTGAAACTATTTTCTATGGCATCCTGGGTAAATATGTTGGAACAGTTATGATTCTTAGAAAACTCTTTCTTGTATGAAGATGAGCTCTCCATCTCTATAATTCTACCCCCTACCAGCAGAAGCAATATAACATAAATTTATTTTCTCTTTCTATGGAGAGCTTTTAATATATCTTAATTTTTCTCTCCTTTACATTAAATATTTAAACTTCTCTAGTGATTTGTCCAAATTATGTGTAACTTTTTAAAATTTGTTTTTGTTTTTGGGGGCTACGCTGTATATACAATTTAGTACCTTCTTCTTCTTAACAATTTTTAAAAATGTGTTATTTCATATTATTAAAACAAATTATGCTCATTATAGGAAACGTGAAAAATAAAGAAAAATAGAAAGTAAATAAAATAATCCAAAATACCACTATCAAGAAATAACCACTATTAAAACAAATTGTCCACACATCTATATTTGTTTTAAAGTGAAACTACATGTAGTTCTGTAACCTGTTTTGTATTTAGTCATGTATCATGTACCTTTTTTATGACAGTAAGAATCTATGACTTTTAGAGCCTGAATAGTATTCATCAGATGAAAATACCATAATTAACCATTAAACATTCTCTTTTGAATACTGAATTGTGTGCCAATTTTTGCTCTTAAAATGTTGGCATGAACACTTCTGTACAAAATAATTTTTTAATGTATTTCTGTAAAATTAGGTTTACAAAAGATCTGAGCTTTTTACTATTCTTTGATACGTATTTTGACTTGCCCAAATTGTTAAATTAATGATGTTGCATTTGGGGATTTCAATTATTGTGCATCAACATTCCACTTGAGGTTAAATCCTCTCTTCAATTTTGATTGCTCTGATTCTTCTAAATTTATTTAGCTTTTTAAAAAATTGTAGTAAAACACATAATATAAGATTTACCATATTAACCATTTTTCAATAGTATTAACTATAAGGACACTGTTGTACAAAAGATCTTTAGAACTTTTTCACTTTGCAAAACTGAAATTTTGTACCTAACTAAAATAACTCCCTCTATTCCTCCACACCAAGCAGCCATCCTTCTATTTTCTGATTCTACAAATTTCACTATTCTAGATACTTCATATAATCTCTTTGTGACTACCTTATGTTACTTACCATAATATTCTTAAGATTCTTCCATGTTGTAGCTTGTGACAAGATTCACTTCTTTCTTTTTTTTTTTCCACTTTTTCTTTTTTTTCACTTCTTTCTTAAGGCTGAATAATATTCCACTGTATATATTCACCACATTTTCTTTATTAATTCATTCATCAATGGACATCTGAATTGTTTCCACTTCTTGGTTATTGTGAATAATGTGCTATGAACCAGAGTGTGCAAATATCTCTTCCAAATCCTTTAAAGTCTTTTCGGTATATACCCAGAACTGGGATTGCTGGATCATATGGTAATTCTATTTATAAATTTTTCAGAAACCTCCATACAGTTTTCCAGAGTGGCTGAACCATATTATATTCCCACCAATAGGGCACAAGAGCTCTAATTAATTTCTCCACACTCTAACCAGCATTTGTTGTTTTGTTTTGTTTTTTGGTTTTGTTTTGGCCATACGGTATGGCATATGGGATCTTAGTTCCCTTGCCAGGGATCAAACCTGTGCCCCTTGCATAGAAGCTTGGAGTATTAACTACTGGACCAAAAGGGAAGTCCCAGTTTCGTTTTGTGTTTTTTTTAATAGTGGCTATCTTCATGGGTTTGAGGAGATATTTCAATGCAGTTTTGATTTGTATTCCTTTAATCATTAGTGATGTGTGCTCAGTTGCTCAGTCGTGTCTGACTCTCTGTGACCCCATGGACTGTAGACCACCAGGCTCCTCTGTCCATGGAATTTTCCAGGCAAGAATACTGGAGCGAGTTGCCATTTCCTTCTCCAGGAGATCTTCCTGACCCAGGGATCGAACTCGCATCTTGCGTCTCCTGCACTAGCAGGTGGATTCTTTACCAGCTGCCACATAAGTTTCTGTACCAATTATGGTTTCCCTGGACCCAACGGTCTTACAAACAGCAACATTAGCTCAAAGAACTGTGGACATCACGAAATATGGTTCTTTTAGACTTGAGAAAAACACGCCCTTCAATAGTGCCTCAATACCCTATAATCTCTAATTTGAGTAACGGAAAAATTCAGGCTGCTCTCAGAGGCACTTGGAAATGAGATCTAATTCAGACTAATGGCCCCTCAGTTTCCTCCAGTGACCCTATACTGAACAAGAAAATTGAAAATTCCCTGTACATCTATGCCTTTCTCTAGTGTGAATTCTCCAGTGTTCAAACAGATGTGCTCGTAAAATATTCCCCACATGTAGTGTACTCTTGAGGCCTTTCTCCAATGTGATAATCATTAGTGACAATGAGCATCTTTTTGTATGCTTCTTTTGACCATTTGTAAATCTTCTTTGGAGAAGTACCTATTCAGGTTCTTTGTGCATTTTAAAATCAGGTTTTTTATTGTTGTTGTTGAGTGTTAAGAGCTCTTTATATAATCTGGATATTAACCCTTATCAGCTACCTGATTTGCAAATACATTCTCCCATTCTGTAGGTTGCCTTGTCACTCTGTTGATTGTCTCCTTTATTGTGTAGAAGCTTTTTTTAGTTTAGTGCAAAATCCCATGTCTACTTTTGCTTTTGTACTCTGGGCGTCACATCCAGAAAAGAATCACTGCTATGGCCAATGTCCAGAAGCTTTCCCTACATTTTCTTCCAGGAGTTTTATGGTTTTACATCTTAAATTTAGGGCTGTATGAGTTAAAAAGGTATAAGGTAAAGGTACAACTTCATTCTTTTGCATGTGGCTATCCATCTCTCCCAACACTTTCTGTTAAAGAGACTGTCCATTCCCCCATTGTGTGATCTCAAATACCCTTGTCAAAGATCACTTGACCATCTATATACACAAGGGTTTGTTTCTAGACTCTCTATTCTATTTCATTGGACTATATGTCTTTTAAAAAATATTTCTCTATATTTGACTGTATCAGGTCTTAGTGGTGGCGTGTGGGCTTCTCTCTAGTTGTGGTGTTCAGCAAGGTTCAGAGGGAAAAATGTGGACTTCAGAGCCCAAAAGGATTGAAATAAAATTTCCACCTCTCATTTAGTGGTCATATTACTAGCTTTGTGACCTGGTACAAAACTTTTTAAAAAAGTATAGTAGGTGTACAATATTATATAAGTTACAGGCACACAATTTTTGAAGGTTATGCTCCATTTCTGGTAGAAAAATTTTTGACTTCTCTGAGCCATGGATTCCTATATATAAGCTAGAGAAAATACCTACCTCCAAGGATTTCTAAGAGAACTAAGCAAAATAACATATGCTTAGAAAAGTTTCCAAGTTCCCAGTATTAATAAATGGTGCTCCTCTTGAGAAACAACAAAAACTATAAACTGTGCATATCAGACAATCAATTACCCTCCTAGGCACTTTTCCATTAGCAATACAAGTATCACATGAATAAAAGCAAGATAATATAATATTAGCCTAAGTGGAAGCTAATTAATATTTTTCATGAGAGTAAAAGAAGCTGGTAAGTCTTGAACAAAAGTCTGCAAATTCCCACCCATCCCTCTGCCCTGTTGTTCCTCCACAAACACACCCCCACCCCGCTCTTTATGTGCCTACAGTATGAGGGCTGGGCTGGGGGCCCACAGGACCGGTAACATGTCTGACACAGGGTTGTTTATAAGGCATAAAGATGGTACCATAGAAGTCTTAGAGGCAGGAATTCTTAGTAAGAGGGTGTATGCCCCAGATGCACAGAACATACATCACCTTTCTGCTCGGCCAACTCCCACAGGTCCTTAGCTGCCACCCAAGACAATGTCATGGGGTATTCCACAAGGACATGCTTTCCAGCATTCAGGAATTGCCTTTGGAAAAGAGGGATAAATACAGATAAAATGCACTTCAATTAAGCTTTGCTTAAGTACCCTGCATGACAGACTGTGAAAAATGTACACAAGTCTCCATGTAAATGTCATGACAGAATGCAGATGAGAGTCAGGGCCAAGGGATGGGGAGAATGAACTGCATCTCATGCTATTTTCTACTAAGCAGTAAGAAAAAGGTTTTCTAGTTATGTGCTCACTTGAACATTCACCCATTCATCCACTGACATATCCAACCAGGTACTATTTACCAGTTATTCTGGAGGAGAAATACAGCCATGTCAACAGGTAAATTGTCTATTACCACAGTCAGTTCCCAACTCTGGGAGTTGGTGATGGACAGGGAGGCCTGGTGTGCTGCAGTCCTTGGGCAGTGACTGAAAGTCGCTCAGTCGTGTCTGATTCTTTGCAACCCCATGGACTGTAGCACACCAGGCCTCCCTGTCCATCACCAACTCCTGGAGCTTACTCAAACTCAAGTTCATCAAGTTGGTGATGCCATCCAACCATCTCATCTTCTGTCTTTGCTGTCTCCTCCTGCCTTTCCCAGCATCAGGGTTTTTTTCCAGTTCTTTGCATCAGGTGGCCAAAGTATTGGAGCTTCAGCTTCAGCATCAGTCCTTCCAATGAATATTCAGGACTGATTTCCTTTAGTATGAACTGGTTGGATCTCCTTGCAGTCCAAGGGACTCTCAAGAGTCTTCTCCAACAACACAGTTCAAAAGCATCGATTCTTCGGCGTTCAGCTTTCTTTATCATCCAACTCTCACATCCATACATGACTTCTGGAAAAACCATAGCTTTGACTAGATGGACCTTTGTTGGCACAGTAATGTCTCTGCTTTTCAATATGCTGGCTAGGTTAGTCATAACTTTTCTTCCAAGGAGCATGAGTCTTTTAATTTCATGGCTCCAGTCACTGTCTGCAGTGATTTTGGAGCCCTCCAAAAATAAAGTCTGTGACTGTTTCCACTGTTTCCCCATCTATTTGCCATGAAATGATGGGAGCAGATGCCATGATCTTAGTTTTCTGAATGTTGAGCTTTAAGCCAACTTTTTCACTCTCCTCTTTCACTTTCATCAAGAGGCTCTTTAGTTCTTCTTCGCTTTCTGCCATAATGGTGGTGTCATCTGCATGAGGTTATTGATATTTCTTCTAGGTGCTTCATCCAGTCCAGCATTTCTCATGATGTACTCTGCATATAAGTTAAATAAGCAGGGTGACATTATACAGCCTTGATGTACTCCTTCCCTGATTTGGAACCAGTCTGTTGTTCCATGTCCAGTTCTAACTGTTGCTTCTTGACCTGCATACAGATTTCTCAGGAGGCAGGTCAGGTGGTCTGGTATTCCCATCTCATTAAGAATTTCCCACAGTTTGCTGTGATCCACACAGTCAAAGGCTTTGGCGTAGTCAATAAAGCAGAAGTAGATGTTTTTCTGGAACTTTCTTGCTTTTTTGATGATCCAACGGATATTGGCAATTTGATCTCTGGTTCCTCTGCCTTTTCTAAATCCAGCTTGAACATCTGGAAGTTCACAGTTCACATACTGTTGAAGCCTGGCTTGGAGAATTTTGAGCATTACTTTACTAGTTTGTGAGATAAGTGCAATTGTGTGGTAGTCTGAACATTCTTTGGCATTGCCTTTCTTTGGGGTTGGAATGAAAACTCACCTTTTCTAGTCCTGTGGCCACTGCTGAGTTTTCCAAATGTGCTGGCATATTGAGTGCAGCACTTTCACGGCATCATGTTTTAGGGATTTGAAATAGCTCAACTGGAATTCTATCACCTCTACTAGCTCCATTACCACATGAGAGCTATAAATAAAGACTACAAAACTATGGCAGCCCACTCTGTCTGAGGCAATTGGAAAACATTTCACTAAGGCTCTGAACTGGGTCTTGAAGTGTGAACAGGCATTTTCCAGGTGCCAGGGGATGAGGGTGTTTCATGATGAGCAGCATAGGCAGGGGCTTGATCATTTATGGGGCTTTGTCCATTGAGACATGGTGTGAATTTCAGCATTTCTGTGTGGCAGGGGAGGGGAGGGAGAGAGAAATGAGGTCCTAAGAGGAGGTGGGAGTTGGATGTAAAGGAAGGACCCAGAGTGCTGTGCTCAGAAGTATGGCTTTTATGCTCCAGATATTCTAGGGGAGAAACACTGGTAAGTATGGGAATTATATGATTACTTCATTCAGGTCTTCTCTGGTGCCAGAAAGGGGATCCACATAAAGGTGCTTCTGCCCACATTTAGAGTGAGTGTGATAAAGAGAGAGCAGATGACTTCTGGGCAACCACACTGTGCAAGTAGCTGTAGTTTAATGTCAGGACCTAAACAGAAAGCTGAGCTCCAGGGGCAGGTGGCAACACCTTGTTAGCTGCCAGGTCTTCCATGGGGCTCTTCCTTCCAGGCTCCATTCCACCAAATGCCTAGAGAGCTCTAGGTTTTGCATTCAAAGGTGGGGCAGGGGGTAGGGTATGTGTGGGGGAAACATTTCATTTCTCTCACTCTATGAATATAATGCGACCTCCCCAATCTTAGGCCACCACTATTTCCTTAATTATCTCATGGCAAAAAACAGTTCCTATTAAAGAAGTCCTAGAGATATTCTCAGAGAGATTTCACATTGTTTAAAGTACAAAGGATAAAATGTTGGAAGCTGAAAGAATTATGGCATTTCTCCAAGACACAAAAAAGACACTGGCTCCATATCCTAAGTTATACACTGAGAAGAAGGCAAATGTTGGTCACTCAGTCGTGTCTGACTCTGCGGCTGGTGGACTATAGCCTGCCAGGCTCCTCTGTCCATGGAATTCTCCAGGCCAGAATACTGGAGTGGGTACCCTTTTCCTTCTCCAGGAGATCTTCCCAATCCAGGGATCGAACCCAGGTCTCCCACACTGTAGGCAGATTCTAAGAAGGCAGGCACTAGTCAAACTACTCTCAATAAATTTTTTACAATGAAATAAAGCACTTTAATTCTTAATGTGTCTAATGTTTTAAATTATGGTGAACTAAATACTAGTTTTACTATATTTTTCATGTCCTTGTACCTTTATAACCCACAGTAAGAGTTAACTTTTTTTTTTTGAGAGTTAACATTTTGAAGACAATTTTTTTAAGTCCTGGATCCATCCCCCTGATTATTAAGATCCCTGTGTAAGATGTCAGCCCAGGTATTTTCACTGTCCTGTACTACTGTGCAAGGTGAGGACTTGAACACCCACCTGATGTAGTCCTCGTGGCTGGAGCTCTCACTGCAGATAAAAGCAACCTCGACCTCTTGACTGGAAAGAGCATCTTCCAGAGAAATTTGCGGCACCTCATCAATGCTCCCCAGCTCTCGTCTGTTTGAGAAGGACAGACAAGTGGAACTCAAAGCAGGCAGAACATCGGCTGACCATAAATGAGTGCCATCCTGCTCCCCAGCTCCCAACAATGTCCTGGTGATCAGTTTTTGGAAACGAAGAAGGCAGTTTCTCCCATCTCATTTCCAGGGCACTTCAAGCACAGAGTAACAGACAGAACCTCCAGCACAGAGTAAGGAATCGGGGAACTGGCATTGAGTCCTGCTACCACTGCTAACAGCCTGTACGACGTGGGAGCCTTTGAATTTACGTCATCTCTAAAATAAATAAAAAGAACAGATCTCCTGTTATCTCATAAGAAGTAATCTCTACGGTCACTGCCAGCTCCAAGCACTTGGCCAGACACTAGGACTACCAAACCTAATCCAGATCCAAGACTCTAACACCTCTGCGGGGCACAGTGCCGTGGGGCTTTGAGCTCCTCCACGTACATCACGGCCTTGTGCCCATCAAGCAGAAGGTGGGCGTCGCTGCCTCCTTTATCGCTGAGCTGACAAAGCCCAGAGAGGCAGGGGCTCCACAGCTCACTGGTAGTAGGGCAAGGACAGGAGCCTGAGCCTCCTGACTCCCACACAGTAGAAGGACCCCTGCTTTAGAACAGCCGAGAGTCCTGGCTGCCCTGGGGCTGAGGCTGGAGCAGAGGAGCAGTCCTCCAACAAAGGTTGTCACAGAGGAAACGGGGCAGCTGGCAGGAGGCTTGGGGCAGCGCAGAGCCCCCTTGAGTGGCAGCAGCTAGAGGGCAGCTGGGGGAGTTTGGCTGCTGAAGAACATCCTGGTAGGTTCTTTCCTGTGGGGGCCACCCATCTGCACTGCTTGGTCTGACCAATGCCTCCCGCTTGCCTCCCTGTGCCTTTCCAGTAGGGAAGATGTGGTGAAGAGGAAAAGTTAAAATTTTACATAACCTCCTGCCCGTTCTGCCTCTGTAACTCATCTTGCTCCTTGCAAAGTCTGGATCATATAGGTCATGTAGTCTCAGAAAGACAACACGAGGAACTGGAGCTTATCTCACTCACCCTTGTCCTGCTCTTTGCAATTGCCCAACCCTGCCAATCTGCTTAATCATGCCTGTCCATGTAAAGGTCTGGCATCCCCCTCCCCATCTTGACTGCTGTTCCCGTGCTAATGAAACCCCTTAAACCAGCCTAGTAGCAGCTAGAGTTGCCCACTATAGTTTGTCTATAGAAACTCTGTAACCCCTTTACTCGGGGCTCAGAGCTTAGAATGTTAACTCCTCTGGGCCCACCGGCATAATAAACTTGAGTTCTCCAATTCTCCAAGTGTGGTGCTGGGTTTCTCGATTACTGGATTCTGCAACAGTGAGGCATGAACTAAAGTCTTCAGCTTCTAGCAAGCTCGGTCTGATAGAGGGAGGAAGAGACTACATAACCACAACTCAAGACTAATAGGAGGTGGGGTCTTCCCTGGTGGTTCAGTGGTTAAACCTCTGTGCTTCCAATGCAGGGGGCACGGGTTTGATGCCTGGTTGGGGAACTAAGATCCCACACACTGTGCAGCATGGCCAAATAAAAATAACCGGAGGGATGCTATGCCAGGGGTACAAGTGGGAGATTCCAGGAAGGCAAGGAACACCCAGTTCAGGGTTTCAGAAGAGGGTTCCTGGGGAGGTGACAGGTCTCAGTAGGTAGGTTGTGAAGAACAGAGCATGTGGCAAGGGGACAGTGTGGTAACAGCAGGGGGCTGGTAAAGTGAGAGGAAGGGAGGGTGAGCTGGCCATCCTATGGGACCTGGGTAGGTTAGGCATGTCATCAGCTGGCAGAGGAAGGCTGATGGGGAAGCAGAAGCCCCCCTTCAGCCCGAAGCCCTTGTACATGAGACCCCAGACGCAGGCAGGGGAGCAGGGGGAGGAACAGTACTGCTAATCATGATATCAAGTCTCCCATCTGTGCTGCTCCCTTAGAATCCTCCTGGGAGGGGAAGACTGACCAAGGGCAGGTTGCCAGCACTTCTGGGTTGCCTCTGTGCCCCCAAATTCACTTTAAGTCCTTAAGGAAGGGCTAGGTTCTAAGACAGACAAATGGGAAGAAAGCAGGTCCCATAAATTAAAATATGAAGGAACCTCTACATGGACCATCATGATGGTTACTTACGCTCGTCTAAGTACTGACATTTAGGTGATTTCTCTAAAACACTAAGAAGCAGAGACCTGCCTGACTTGCTGCCTGTCCCAATGCCTGGGCTGATACAGGGCCCACCTCCGGTTCACAGTGACTGCTGATAACCGGCGTTACATGGTGTGAGTTTTGTAAGTCGCGTGTGTGGAAGTGGTGGGTCAAGGAGGGGCTGAGGGTGAGTAAGGGAAGAAGAAAAGCAGCGAAAGTTAGGCTTTGGCTGAGTTACAGGAGATGAATGATAGTCTTTAAAAGCGGGGTTCAGAATTATCATAGGGGAAATGAATATGTGGTATTTAAAAGCCGGGCTTTGGAATCAGATAGACGTGCGCTATTGTTCAGTTCTTCAGTTTTTCCAGCTGTGTAACATCAGGCAAATTACTTAACCTCTCTGTGGTTCAGCTTCTGTATCTGTCAAGTAGGTTGATATTGGCATTGATGTCAAATAACTGGTCAGGCTTACAAAGCCCAGGGCCCTGGGAAGACTGTCATGGTTAACTGATGGAATACACCTCAAGCCTTCTTTCAGGCCAACCCACGTGTGTTCACTGTGCCCCTCCTGTCACCGTCAGGCCCAGTGCCCACCTCCCCCGCCTCGGCCTTTGCAGTCCCCTATAGGATGACTCACTGCACATCCCGGTTGCAGGGCCAGCACTCTTTAGTTCCCAGACCTGTCTGAGATCTTGTGGGGCTGACCCTGCACAGTTCCCTGGAATGACCCCTGAGCTGGCTTGCTCTCTCTGGGGTCTGGAGAACCGTAATCCATGCACCCAGCTCCCGGGGAATTACAGGGCATAAAGCAAAGCCACCTGGACACGAAGCCGATCAGGTTCAGGAACGCCGAGGAAGCGTGTGGATTCCGCAGGTCCCGGATCCGTACGGAGCCGGCTCTGCCGACGCCGACCACCACCACCCCAAACTTCCTCTCGGGCTGAAACACACAGGATCAAGGTGGGGTTTAAAAATGGTCCAGGCTCATACTTACAATGTTTAACTTGAGTATTTGTGTCCTCCCCGTGCCGTGTATAGATACTGAGCTTGTTTCGCTTGAGTATAATATCAACTGAAAAGACCAAATATTTTTCATTCTGACAAAATTTAAAATCCAACAAACATTTATCAAAATCTAAAAGAACACCCCCCAAACACAACAGTTTGGGCAGATAGCATAGAACAGCAAAACAGACACGTGGGCAAGACCAGTGAGGGACCAGACAAGCAAGCCAGGAGCCAACACGGATCACGGAAGCCACAGCAGGGGAACAGGAATGAGACTCCCTGAAATGCAAGGATGGAGAGAAGTCAGCTCCCCCCAAAATATTTATATGGCTGCTCTGACCTGTGTTATCCATGGAAAAGGCTCTTTGCACACTTGGCTCTCCACCCACTTCTACTGCCACCTCCCCGCTAATGAGAGATCTTCATCTTGAAGCTGTACCCAGCCCTAGTCTGGTACCTCTGTCCTCCCTCTCTCTCTCCTCCAGTGGACGTGCAAATCTAAGGTAACGGAGAGTCATACAGAAGTGACAGTGCTCAGTGAGATTCAGGGGGACAGGGCACATGGGCACATGGTGACCTTATTCAGACCCCTCACCACCTTGGCTTTCTGGGTTCCAACTAATATCACTCTTACCCTACTGTGAGAGCTTACTCATTATTTGGATACAATGCATATAGTACTAGAATGAAAAATCAACTCAAGTTTTTCAAGTTATATAGCAACTTACTATAATCTAAACTGATAAAAATTCTCTCTCTATATAAACCTCAAACCCAGTTCTTCTTGGATGCCTCCATGCACAAAAACTCAAATGTCCCCCTTAGATTCCCTTTTCCTTCACCTTTGTCATCTGGTGTCACCATTTCCTACAGTTTGCCCCACTTCCTGCATCCACTGCTCTAGTCTTAGCCCAGGACTTCTTTGCCTCCTGCCTAATGATCTGATAAATCGCCCCCTGGTCTCACCCTTCCCATGGGTGGTACCCTGGACTGCCAGAGCAGATGCTTCAGATGAAAACTAAGTCCTTCCTCTGATGAAAGCTCTTCATTTTCCCAACTGTTACAGACTGAATGACTGCTTCTCTCAAAAGGCATAGTGGGATCCCTGTCCCCCAATATGATGGCAGTAGGAGGTGAGGCCTCTGGGTAATCAGGGTGAGATGAAGTCATGAGGGAGGAGCCCCCACGAATGGGGTTGGTTCTAAGAGTCACAAGACAGCTTGAGTCCTCTCCCTGCTCTCTGCCCATGTGAGGACACGATGAGGAGTCAGCAGTCTGCAGCCCGTAAAGGGGGCCCCCCATATCTCAACTGATCTCAGACTTCTAGACTCCGAACTTCATGAGAATTTCTGTGGCACTGTTCAGCAGCCCAAACCGTGAGACAGTCTGTAAGAAAACAATTGAAGGGGAAAAAAAATCCAAGTCCATGTTTTCTACCAAACACAAGTCCTTCCACAATTCAGCACCGGCCTGCTTCTCCAGCACTGCCTTTCAGTCACCTCCTCCACGTGTAACTTTAGGCTTCAGACCTTCCAACACAGGACCGTTTCTTCCCTCTGAGTCTTTGCAAATCCTGTTCTCTTTGCCTGGAAGGAGTTTCTCCCTACCGTCCACAGGGGGATGCCTTCAAAGCTTTCAAGACTTGGGCATCTTAAACCTTATGAAGCCTTTCCTGATACTATCAGATTTTTTTTTTTTTGCATATAATAAAGATCACCCATTTTATGTACAGTTCTATGGGTTCTGACCAAGACACTTACATACCTACCACAATCAAGATACAGAATCTATATAGATACTATCATCTCCTCCAAAATTACCTGTACCCCTTTGTAGTCAACTGTTTCCCCTGCCAGGCAACCATCAACTTGTCTACCATCCCAGTAGTTTTGCCTTTTCTAGAATATCATAAAAATGAAATCACAATATGCAGTCTTTTGGGTCTGGCTTCCACTTAAAACAATGTGTTTTTTATCTATTTTGTTACATGATTAATCATTTCTTTTTATGAGTACTAGTCATAATAGCTTGTTTATCCATTTGGCACCTGAAGAATATGCTGCTGCTGGTTCAGATGAATTCATAATTTATTCAATTATGAATAAAGCTGCTGTAGACAGTCATGTCCTACTTTGAGTTCTCATTTAACTTGGGTAAATACCTGGGTATGAGTTTGCTGTGTCATAGGGCAAGTGTAGGCTTAACTTTATGAGAAACTGCCAAACTTTTTTTCCCAAAGTGTACCTTTATACCTATACTGTTTTGCATTCTTGTCACTGATGTCTGAAAGGTCCAGTGGTTCTGCATTCTCTCCAGCACCTGGTATCATCAGGTCTTCTCCTCTTTTTATTTTAGCCATTATAATAGGTGTGTTGTGGTCTCTCACTGAGGTTTCTATTTGCAGTTCCATAATGACTGATGATGTTGAGCACTGTTTCACGTGTTTATTTGCCGTCTATAAATCTTCACTGGTAAGGCGTCTGTTCATTTCACAGGCTGTATCAGCTATGTACAACTAAGCAGGGGTATGCCAGGCCTGTCTTTAAATATACTGGGTCCTTAAACCCAGCTCACGGGTCATCTTCTCTGGAAGCCATCAAGCTTTTTTGTTTTGTTTTATTTGCATACAATATCCAATTGTCCTAATATCATTTATTGAGAAAGACCAAACTTTTTCTATTGAAATGCATTTGTACCTTGGTGGAAGCTGTCTTATTACTATAGTTTTTTTTTTCATTTATTATTATTAGTTGGAGGCTAATTAGTTTACAATATTGTAGTGGTTTTTGTCATACATTGACATGAATCAGCCACAGTTTTATGGTAAGTATGGAAGTCCATCACTGTGAATTCATTGTCTTTTTCAAAATTCTAGTTCTCCTGTCTTTACATATAAATTTTAGAATCAATTACTAGATAAATAAAATGAAATAAAATAAAAATTCCTGCCAGAATTTTGAGTGGGATTATATTGAATTTATGGATAAGTTTGAGGAAAAAACCCAACATCTTCAGTAAAATGAATCTTCTAATCCATGAATATGGTATATATATACATTTATTTAGGTCCTTGATTTCTTTCATTCTGTCATTTTCAGTGGATAGATTCTGCACCCATTTTGTTAAATTTATACTTAAATTTTTATGATTTTTAGTGCTGTTATAAATTTTATTTATAAATGAAATTATGCTTTACCTTCCATTTCCAATTGTTCATTGTGAGTATATAGACATACAACTGATTTCTGTATACTGACTTGGTATCTTGCAATCTTGCTGAACTCACTTATTACTTCTAGCAGCTTTTTTTGTAATTCTATTAGATTTTCCACATAGACCATACAGTCAGATGTAACTAGAGATGATTTTACTTCCAATCTGTATGTGCTTTGCTCATTTTTCTTGCCTGACTGCACTGGGTGGGTATGGTTTTGAACAGGAGCAGTAAGAGAGGACAATCTTGCTTACCTTTTAATCTTCAGGGATATAATTTGTTCTTTCACCATGGAGAATGATCTTGGCTATAGATTTTTATGTAGATATCCTTTTTCAGGATGTGGATATTTCCATTTATTCATATTTTGCTTACATTTTAAAACCATAAATGGTCTAACTTTGTCAAGTGTCTTTTCTGTGTCTGTTGAGATGATCACGTGATATTTTTCTTCTTCAAGTCTGTTGATACAATGACACCTTTCATTCCTAGGATAAACCTCACTTGGTCATAATGTATTATCCTTTACATATACTGTTGAGTCTATTTGCTAAAATCTTATTTTAAATGTTTGCATCTGTGTTCATGAGAGTTGTTGTTCAGTCGCTAAGTCATGACTGAGATAACATTATACCATTTCAAACCTAAGAACCTTACAACAGTATACTTCCACTTCCTCTCTCCCTGACTTTGTACTACTGTTGTTATATAACTTATAAACTGCTCAAGGTACCAGTCAGGATTCAGTAATGTGGTCTAAGCACAGAGTTTTAACATGGGGAATCAGGGGTTTACATCACCATTTCAAACAATGGGGAGCTAAATCCAGAGAAGCCATCACTGACCATCTCCTACTGCCATCAAGCAAGTGATTCTCAAGAGTTTGCCTGGAAGCCAAGACCTCAGGAGAGCATCTGCAGCCTAAAGCTTGGAAGAGCAACTGTGCCCTCTGAATAAATTTCTTTCTTCAGCCTCCAAATCTCCCGGGAGTGCCTCTTACTGGCCAAATTCACACATGAGATGGAACTTTGGGAAATGTAGTTCTAAGCTTGTGGCCACAATGCCCAACTGACCACAGGCCGTTTAGCCCAGTTAGTGCCTTCTGGGTTACAAGCCTAGCTTTTAATTTTTATTTTTGATAGTCTCATACACAAAAAGCAGAAGGACAGTCTTTAGAGAAATCTGTACTGAATTGCCAAAATACACATCTGATCAAATATTTGCTTTTTCTTTCACTCAGAAAAGGAAACAAGCAACTTCCTTATGAGGCTGATCAAATATTTGTTTCTTCTTTCACTCAGAAAAGGAAACAAGCAATCTCCTTATGAGGCTGAATATTTATGGCATTCCTAAGATTAACTACTAAATTACTACATTACAGAAAATAACGAGGATCATAGGTTTCTATTAGCTTTAAAAGAGGCATGAGGTTAAGAAACAGCTTCCTTATTGTAAGAAGCCAAGTCACTTTTTCCATTTTAATAATTAATGATATGCACACACTTGTAAACCTGGCTTGCATAGTGTCTGGCTGAAAGTGCATTCAAATTTGGTTTAGACAACATTCCCTTGCAAAACTGATAACAAGGGACAAGATATGGGTGAAAATGCTGACATATTAACAACTGAGTTCCTCGTTGGGAAAGAACTTCATTTTTGAGAAAAATGACTTCGCTAGACCATTTCACCTATGTCTGTTCATTTTACATGAGGCATCA